TTATCAACCCGAGGTATTTTGTAAGACATAACATTTCAGAGGCTGACATTTTGAGACACCCTTCTCGTTTCAAACTTGTATCTGTGATTAGTGTTGGCCTACTTCTAATGTCTAATGGTCCATAATTAAAGGACACTATTCTGTTATTTAATGTATCAAGAGAAAAATACTTGAGATTATAAATCATTTCTTTTAGTATAAGACCTATGTCATATTTGCATACCCCTTCTGCCATATCATGCATTATATCCACACTATAGTTAGTAGTTACATTAAAAGATCCCACATCATTCCAGATACATAGTTCTTTAATACCAGTAACGGACACATCATTATGCATAACATCAGCTGTATAATTAACAGAGTCTCTTAAATTGTTATCATTTTGTATACATTGTTGATGGCATTCTTTTTTATGAGTTTTACAGAATCGACAATGATAATTTGCAACAAAACTCTCAACAAATCCCAGAATAGAGTGCAATCCTAGGTTATCACCCAGAATTAATCCTAATTTAAATAAAATATTATAGGTTTTGTTATTGACAACCACTTCAATCCCAGTTGACTCTAAGAAATTTAGCTCTGCAATAAGATCTTTAAATATAGCATGATTCCCGAAACAATTTTTATCATCAGTTTTGAAAAGCGCGACTAAATAAATATAATTTAGTGATGATGATAGTTCAGGTGGTAAACAAGCAAGAGAAATGTATACAGCCCCAAGTTTTTGAGTTCCAGCATGAGACCCTAGTGGGTTATTTACTTCAAAATCATCGTAATAAAGAAAATATGGTAGAATAATTTTATTTTGGTTATTTAGCTTAACTTTCCATAGGGAAGATTGAACAAAACTTTTAACTATACATGGATTATTGTTTTCCTGTACTTGTTTTAGATATCCAATTATGACATTAAAAAAATTAGAATGTTCAAATTGTTTTTTCAAAACTAATCTCAAGGATATCATAGTCATTTTAACTTCTTTTGGTTCTAAAATTACTCTACCACTAGTAAGTCTATCATTTAACCTCTGTCCAATTATAATCTGATAAGGTCTTATGAAGACACCTATATTTTCTAATAATTGTAAGCGGAAATATTCTGTTTTAACCTCATCAAACGAATTAGAAAGCACATCAAATATATTTGTAAACTCTAAGGTAGTTTTAGAAGAAATATTTAATTTGGAGAGCTCACTATCAATTTTCTGTTTTATTATAGAGAATATTGAATCATTAAAATTCTGTACATCATTAATTAATGTTTGCACTATATTTCTTGGAATTGAAACATTGCTATACCATTTACTAGTTAGGTACAAAGCGTTTTTTTGTAACTCTTGTTTCAATAACTTTGGTGTATCTTTCGAGGTTTCTAAAAGTGGAATATTAGATATAGTATTATTATCTGAATCTTGTATAATGGGTGCATCTAATGGTATAATTAATTGATTAGTACTTAAATTACAATCATCAATATTGTGACCAATAACATTAGAAATTGAAATATGAGAGTTACAGGTGTCATAATTTTGATAATTATGATTAGGAGTTAAAATGTGGGTTTTTAAATGCTTTTTAAAAGAATTTAATGTACTAAAACTGCGAAGACAACTAGTTGTTTTACAGACAAATTCCTTTATTTGATTTATATCATGATAAATACCAAGATGAATGATTAAATAATTAATACAATTAAACTTTAAATTGCATAAGAAACAATTAAACATATTATGTGCTGTTTAAAATATGATGGAGTTAGGTGAGAATTGTAAATCCTTGCACAAACTTTGAACAGATAAAAATTTTTTTTTTTTTTAGGGTTTAGTATTTCAAAAAAATACTGCTCAAAAAAATACCATATTTGCTCAGCTTCAGGAGGGTATTCTAGGTTTAAAACATGGTATAATTTAAAACATAAATCTACGGCCTTAACTGCTGTTTCCAACTGGTATTGAGTGTTGTTGATTATTGTATAATAGTATGTAGAATCTTGGCCATCGACATTTCCCACTATAACCACATAAGGTTGAACAGTAGAACCACAGGTTAAAGCTTTGTCCACTTTTTGTTTATGTACAATTTTCAGTTCATTGGCACTCTAAAACATATTAAAATAGTTACAAATTAATATAGAATATTTTATCAAAAACTAATTTTAAATATTTACAGGAATTGTCACTATAAAAGCATTGGATTGTTCAATTTTAGATGGTCTTATCACTTTTTTGTTTTTTAAAACAATATTGACTGGAGAAAAAAAAAAAGGTATTAACTGGAGTGCAGCCAAATCATGATCATCTGAAAAATTTGTTAAAAAATTAAGAATGTTTAAATAAGTGGTTGGTTATGCTTAGGCTCAGAAATTATTGTATTTACAAATCTAAAAAAATTTCAAAATGTAAACGTTTTATAATGTTCAATTTCTGAGCCCTAATTAAGTGAAAGTTATACACTTGCTATTGTTTATTGGTGCATTAAGTTTAGTTAGAAGTGGTGAACCTGAAATACCAATGTTAACAGAATTCTGATTTAGATACATCTTCAATTTATCTTTAAACGTTTCAAATTTGCTAAACAAGTTCATTTCTTTATTGGGGTACATATAGGCAAAATCTAAATCAATCTGAAAGCATACAATTCACTCTAAGATTATATTATAATTTATTTTATACATTATACATTTATACTTTTAGTAAATCAGAATTTTATATGAAAATGTAACATAATATTATACTAAAGAGAAAATGACCAGTAGGTTTTTTTAAGGCTGGATAAATGTCCATCACATTTGCATTAATTTGAACAGTTAGCCTATAAGGTGCTGTTTCTACCCATAGTTTATGTAGAATACTTTCAGGTTCAACTTGATTTTTTAACCAGTTGAGTGAATCTTCATAATCTATTATAAGTAGGTATATATTTTAGCAATTTTAAGGTATTGTATCATTTACCATCATATTAATAAATAGTATTGTAATATAAACATAATTTGACCTTTTTCATTTAGATGAGTTAATTTAGGTATAGCTTCGGGTTCTGGATTTTTTCTTTTATAATTTGAAATTTTTGAAATTTTTCTTTTCACATTGCAATATTTATCAAAAAGTTTTCCTCTGTTTGGGGTTACTATATTGGTCTCTTTTTCTCTTGGTATAAAATAGGTTTCTTTGCTTTCAGTTGGGAAAAGAATTTCAATACCTTATAAAAATATAAAAATGAATATAATACAATTTTATAAACAATTACTACT